GTGTGTGTGAGTGTGTGTGTGTGTCTCAGTGTGTGTGTGTGTATGTCTCAGTGTGTGTGTCTCAGTGTGTTTCAGGGTGTTTCAGTGTGTCTCTGTGTGTGTGTGTGTGTGTGTGTGTGTGTGTGTGTGTCTGTGTGTGTGTGTCTCTGTGTGTGTGTCTCTGTGTGTCTCAGTGTGTGTGTGTGTGTGTGTGTGTGTGGGTGTGTGTGTGTGTGTGTGTGTGTGTGTGTGTGTCTCAGTGTGTGTGTGTGTATGTCTTAGTGTGTGTGTCTCAGTGTGGTTTCAGGGTGTTTCTGTGTGTGTGTGTGTGTCTCTGTGTGTGTGTCTCTGTGTGTGTGTCTCTGTGTGTGTGTCTCTGTGTGGTTTCAGGGTGTCTCTGTGTGTGTGTGTGTGTGTTTCTGTGTGTGTGTGTGTGTGTGGTACCTGCAGGGCGCTGTTCAGGAAGCAGCTGTTCTGACCCGGCTCGTTGCTCAGCCCCTTACTGGGAGCGATGGACGCCATGGTGTGCGCCGCCACCACTCCCTGTGTGCCTCCGCCGCCTCCCGATGCAAAGTAGTTCCTCTTCCAGGACATGCTCCTCCGTCTGCTGTGGCCCGGCCCGTATCAACTTCCTGGTTCTCCGGTCCAGGGATCCATCTGCTCCGGACCGGAGGACGCAGGCGAGGAAAACTCCCGGACAAACCCCCAAAAATCAGCTTTTATCAAAGTTTTCTCCTGTTTTACCACAAAAACATCAAAAATAAAAACAATCAGGAGACGTAGTTCAGCTCCAGCAGCTCAGGCTTCCACTGAGGATTCAAGGAATGGTTGTATTTCCCAAATCTGACACTTTGAAAGGCAGGCCAGGGGTCAAAGGTCAGCGGAGGCGTCTGGGGATGGCACAGATCTGCAGGAGAAGAAGAAAGAGCTGATCATCCCGGAATAACAAGATTCCTAAACAAACATTCCTGTTTCTCTCCCTGAAACTGAGAAAATCCCAATACTACACCAAGCTGACGGGCCGGATCAGAACCTGTAGGCCGGGCCAGGGAGCCAGAACCAGCAGATACAGTCTGATCTGAATCAGAGCCCGGCCCGGTTCTGAACGCTGACGCAGCAGGAACTGAGGCTCCAGCTCCCAGTAATGACAGAGGAAAACCCAGAATTACTGGTTCAGACGGTGCGTCACTGCAGCCGTCTGGTCCAGTTCCACCAACTGGGTCAGAACCTGCTGGGACCAGACTGTGACTCAGAACCACATGGTAGAACCGAAGGGGTTCTGAATGAACCACCCAGGGAGCTGGTTCTGAGACGCTCAGGGAGTCAGAGGATTAAGGAGCGCTTGTTTACTACACCAGCAGCCAGACAGACTCCACCCGGACTGGACCCGGCTGAAACCGCCAGGCGGTTCTGTCTGCCACCAGGCGGTGCCACTGAGGGGATTCCTGCTGGGAATCAGGGGCGGCAAACCATCGGATCAGCTGATCAGACTGAGGGATTACAGAGTCTGAGTGGAGCTGGGTTCTGGAGCCCACCGACCCGTCAGGCCCGGTTCTGACAGCAGCTGGAGGTAAAACCTCAGACTGCGGAAGAAACCTCTCAGAATCATCTGTATTCACTAATTATAAACCTTTGACCTTTGACCTGCTTTCACCCTCCAGATTGATCCCAGCAGTCTGGGGAAAGTTAGTTAGATGGAAGAACTTTTTGACCAAATACTGAGGAGACGGATGGAGACTTTTATTGTTCAGTGACCCTGGTGGTTTGTTCATGTCTGTTTTCAAAGTTAGCAACAACGCTAACACAAACGTAGCTCAACTGTTAGCGGATTAGCAGACTGTGTCCACCGCCGACAGAATAAAGCATGTCTGATCCTGGAGGCCGGGTCCAGGTCCGGCCCTCAGCATGTCAGCTGCAGCAGCCACCACCGTGCCTCCTCTATGAACAGCCAGGACGTTTCTCCTCAATCCAACGCTTCCTGGATAATTTGGGTGGATTTAATCCAGACTCATCCTCAGAATAACCAACTTCATATTAACGAAGGAGGAAACAGAAACCAGCAGATCGACCTGCAGGGCAGTGACCTCTGCAGGTCGGGGGTCGTCTTGGCGACGCTGCAGCCTATTTGGTGTAAAACTGGTTATGCAACATAGCCGCAACACACACGCACGCACACACACACACACACACACACACACACACACACCTCTATAATCAGCTCTCATTTAGCCGGCTGGTTTGGCACCTCCAGGCCCACTGGGCTGCTAGAGGCCCGGCAGCAACTGGGAGCTCTGGGAGGACTGGGAGGAGGCCAGCAGGGCCATGGATCAAGGTTCTGGCAGCTGGAGTGGTACCAACTGGACTGGTTCTGTAAGACCCAATCAGCCAGACTCTACTGCTGCAGAACCAGAGATAATCACAGGAAAACACAGAACCCAGCAAGGTTCTACTGGACCCACCAGAACCCATTAGAACCCATCAGAACCCAGGGTGTTCCTGACTTCCTTATCCTGATACCCTGATGATTTATGGAGAATCTGATTGGACAGAGACGGACCAATCAGATCAGCCTGACCTGCAGCTTCTGAAAACGGAACTCTATTTTCCAACAGTCAGCGAACGCATCACAGCCGCCACAATCCTCCTCAGCAACGTTGTCAGATCTGAAGTTCTGAAGGTCCAATCGGATCCGTGTTTAAGCACCAGGCCAGAAATCTGGACAAAGATCCTGAAGGAAGAACCTCTGGTTCTGGTCTGAACAGCCAGAGCTGCTTCAGAACCTCTGGTACCGTTTTTTTTCTTCACTTTGTAACATTTGTTTAAAAGTTGCTATAAATTAAAGTATCATCATGAGGGTGACGACAGGAACCCGGTTCTGGCCGGTAACTGGGTCCGGTCCATTTAAACCCACGGCAGACGACCGGACCACGGAGCGTCGGTGAAGACGGAGCCGCTGACCCGTTTGACTCGGTCTGCAGGATGATTCTGGGCTCAGTTCCATCAGCAGGCAGCCACCTTCAGCGGCGCGGTCCAAAAATAACTCTGGAAGCGGATCAATTTGATCCTGATGTTCCAGAACCAGGAACGGTTCTACTGGATCCAGAAAACCGGAGTGCTCCATGTGTAAAGCACGGTGGAGGCTGCGTCATGCTGTGGGACTGGCACTTCCTGGAGTTCTAAACACAAACCAGTACAGTCCAAATGGACCAACCAGAACCTCAGCTGGCTGGTCCGTTCTGGTTCGTTAGCTTCCAATAAATAAATTTTTTCCAGATAAATTCTAAACTTTAGCTGAATAAACTTCAACGTTTATCGTTTACATTCATGAATGTCTACACAGATGCTGTTTAAATTAAATCTGTTTACGCAGCATTTTCATTTCCTCTCCTCACATGTGGCAAATGATGCTTATTCTGTACCCAGAATGCATCTCTGCTACAGCCTGTAGTGGAAATCAACATGGCTGAATTTAGCGCTTTAGCATTAGCTTCTCCTAAACACCATGTTGGAATAGCACTTTAGCATTAGCATAACTACGATTTTTAGAGCAGCTAATATTGTAGCTAGCGGTGCCAGGCGCTGGTTGTGATTCTCAGAGAGAAATCCAACCGGGTCACAATCAGTCCGGTCCAGTCAGAACTTTACAGAATATTTGGACATTATGAAAAATCAAAGCCACATCCTGTTGGTTCTGTACGGCAACCAGCAGGTCCAACTGAGCAGCAAACGCATAAAACAGGGTGTCCAAAGTGGGTCCTGGAGGCCCAAAGTGGGTCCTGGAGGCCCAAAGTGGGTCCTGGAGGCCCGGCATCCTGCATGTTTTAGTCTCTCCCTGGTTTTACACACCTCCATCAAATGATGCTCATTAGAGGCCTGAGAGGAACATTGACTTGCTGAGGAGGTTGTTCCAACCACCAGGGAGAGAAATAAAACATGCAGGATGCCGGGCCTCCAGGACCCACTTTGGGCCTCCAGGACCCACTTTGGGCCTCCAGGACCCACTTTGGGCCTCCCTGGCATAAACGAAGCAAACTCAAACACAGAAATACAAGAGAAAAATGCTGCAGATACAAACATCGAGTATCAAACACTGTAAACTTTCTCCACAGAACGTAAATCCTCCAGGCCACCAGGGGGAGTCGACCTTCAGTGAAGATGGGCAGACCAGATACCTGAAGGGCACCGTAGTTCTGGAGAACCAGGTTCTGATCCGATCTTTTGTCTGAGCTCCACCTGAACAGAACCTGGACGTGTAAACACATCAGAACCAGATCCAAAGTTCTGGTTTCACTTTAATAATCTGGGAGGAGCTGCTCTTCCTCCTCCTCCTCTTCCTCATGGTTCTGCTGCTGACCCGGATGTTTCAGAACCGGTCCAGTCAGAATCTTCTCTCTGCCTCAGGCGTTAGTTTTTACTGATTGACAGGATCCAGAACCGGATCCAGAACCAGGGTTCTGTTCTGGTCCGGACAGCTGGAGTCTCCTCAGTGTTAAAGCACGGCGGTGGCAGCATCATAGCTGGGAGCATCAGAACCAGCTGGTTCTGGTCCAGATCAAGTCCAATGGAGAAGAGCTGAGCAGTCAGTATGTTACCAGCTGAACGGGTCGATCAGAACCAGCTTCTGGCACCAGAGTGAAAACATCCAGAACTTCATTAATGGGCCCAGTAACACCAGAACCCACGGGCCTTAATGCTGGAGCTCTGACCCAATAGAACCAGGCTGGGTCGGATTCACCAGAGCCAATGAAGCAGAACTCTCCTGGTCCGAGCAGAACCCGGTCATGGTTCTGGTTTGAGTTGTAATTGATCTGGACCGGGCCTTCCAGAACCTCAGCAGCTTTGGGTTCAGGATGAGTCCAGAACCTTCAGAACCGGTTCTGGTCTCCTTCCTCAGCTTTCAGGAAAGTTCTGCTCAGATCAGAACTTTCTGGTGGAACACAACAGAAACTTTGTTCCAGTCGTAGCAGAACCAGAACCGGGTCCAGAACCAGAACCAGGTCGGTGTGGGAACGGCTCCTCTTGCTGTTCCCGGTGGGAATCATCCACAGCCGGGAGTCCAGAACCCACGAACCAACCCGGACGGTTCTCATCAAACCCGAACCATCCGGATCCCTCAGTGCCGAACCCGACCCGGACCCGGGCTGAGCAGAACCGGCCGAACCGCAGCGTGAAGCGGCAGTTTTCCAGCCGGAGTCCGGAGCGGGAAGCATGACATCACTTCCAGCAAACTTCAGGGAACAAAGAGCCCGGAGCGGACCGGAACCGGGCCGGAACCGAGCCCGACCAGCACCGCAGGCCGGGATAAGGCCGAACCGGAGAGGATCGCAGCTCCAGAATCGGAACCGGACTGCGGAGCAGCGACAGCTCCTTGCCAAAGCATCACAGCGAGCAGGACGCGGTCAGAACCGGAACACCGAGGTTCGGCGGAGCGGCTCACCTGCGGCCGGAGGGGGAGACCTTCACCCGGCCAGGATGCGGGGCAGCCCGGGGCCGGACGGCAGAGTGGACCCGGACAGGACGGACCGGACCGGACCGGAGCGGAGCGGCGGGTATTGTGCTGAACGGAGGGGGCGGAGTTACTACCTGCAGCACGGGCACGCGCACAGCCCGGCGCGGGCACGGCCGGGAGCGCGCCTGCCTGTGCGCGTGAGGGGGGCAGGGACCCAGCGGACCCGGTTGACCCGGTCCATTTAGGTTCTGGTGGGTCCAGGTGAGATAACCTTCAGGTTTCTGATCGGATGAAACTTTCTGCTTTGTGACGTCATAATTTCCCATCAACATCCCATAATAGAACCTGGATCCGCTTTGTTAAAGTTTGATGCTTTTCTTCTTGTTAAAACCTAAAACCAGAAATAAAAAGTTCAGGAAGAATGAGCCGGTGGTTCTGAAGGCTGCAGAGCTGCGGCCTAGTCAAAGTCCAGGAGTAGAGAAACACGATGGAAACCAGCTGGGATTATTTCCTTATGAGGGAATACATTCAGATAAACGTTTTAAATAAATCAGATCAAAATTTTTGTTTTTCTGGAATCAGTTTTTGTTGTTGTTTCCAGTAAATTTAAATATTTTTTTATTTATTTTTTTTGCTTTGAATTTTCACTTTAAATTAGATAATTTAAGATATTTTATCAATTTCCAGTTACATTTCTTTACTTTCTGCCTGTTTAATAAATCTGTTTCTACATTTCCTTGCTTTTTATTTTCATGTTTATTATTCCTGCAACACAAACATTTGCATAGAGAAAGACGATTACAGGGGAATAAAAATAAATTTAATTTTTAACCAACCAAGGAGCAAAAAGTCCCAGTGAAAAAAAATCTAAAAATATGATTTAATTATTTTATTTTATTGTCTTCTATTTATTCTCCTTTAATTATATAAATTTATAACCAAATATAAAAAACACAAATCAAAAGTGGAATTATTCTGAGTTATTTTCTCCCTCAGCAGCAGGTTGGACCGGGTCGACCCGTCAGAACCGTTTGGACCTGGATCGCCGCTGTGAGCTGACCGAGCAGCCAGCGGCTCTGAGTATTGATCAGGTTATTGATCCGGTAGAAGCAGTGAGCATCGATCCGGCAGCTGGGGACCGACGCAGCTCCCTGCTGACTCGTTGGTTCTGATCCTGACCCGTTTACTACAAACAGAACACACTGCGGTTCTGCTGCAGACCCAAAACACAGCAACCCAGACGGAGTCAGGAGGAACCGGGCCCTGGGCCGAGCTGGATGAAGAGGCCCCACATCAGATCTCTTTGTTGGGTTTGGTCTCGGTTCTGACATGAAGAGCTCTGGTTCTGGTTCTGATGCTTTAATCGGTTCAGATTCTCTGTTTATTTCTTTCTGATTTTCTTATAAAATATTCAGCTTGTATCTGAGCAGAACATTTATTCTTTGAAGCACTGCTAGCCAAAAGGTTAGCTACGCTAACCATAAAGTATTCAGCATTAGCTATGCTAACACTAAGTCACTACACTAACACGGCATTTAGCAGAAGCTAATGCTAAACCACTAAATTAAACCATGTTGAAAAATCAAAACAATTATCTGTAATTTTTTTATGCATCATTTAATTAACGGCTCTGGTTGTTTGCTCATGTAAACGATGTATTCTGTATATTTCTTCCATTTGTTTGTCACATCCTCAAAGTTTCTAGAAAAAAGTGAAAGGAGGCAAGGAGAGGAAATGAAACAGACTTCAAACCTTTCAAAATAAGAGCATAGACATAAACAACACAGATGTTGAAATTTATTCAACTGAAAGTTAAAAAAAAATCTGCTGTGTAAATTTAGAATTTATCAGGGAAGCTAAGTGCGCTAAAGTTTCGACAGCATTAGCAAAAATGCTAAAATTAGCTCCAGCATTAGCGCAGTCAGTGAGACGTTTACTCTGAGCTGCTCCTCTGGTTCTGATCATAAAACAAACAGGAACTTTTAGTCACTGTAGAACAACCAGGACCCGTCTCATCTGGTTCTGCAGCATTCGGGTCATCAGAACCCTCCAGAACCAGATGTCTGCTGCAGCAGCAGCTCTGGGTTTGGGTGGAGATCTCATCTGAACCGCAGCTCAGAACCTCAAACATTCCTCCTCCGCCTGGCTTCTATTAAACCGGGTCCAACCGGGTCCAACCGGTTCAGACGGGCTCAGGCTTTTAAACAGCCGGGTTCTGCTCATAAAGAACCGAGACCTTTAGACTCTTCTGGGTTTAGCAGCAGCTGAAGGTTCTGGTTCTGAGTTTATAAAGATCTACAGCTTTCAGGCCCAGAGTCACATTAAAACACTAAATCAGAACAGGTTCTGATGGGGTTCTGATGGGGTTCTGATGATCTGTTCAGGTTAAAAACTTCTGACTAGCTCAGAACCAGAACCAGAGTCGGGTCAGAATCGTCCTGCTTCCTGTTTCCTGCTGTGGAAAACAACCCGCCTGTTTTCAGCTCCTGTTGGGTCGGTCCGCTGAGCCGGGTCAGAACCACTCTGGACCTTATCTCTGCAAGCAGAACCGGGCCTGAGCAGTTCCAGTTCCTGCTCTGGTTCAGCAGAACAAACAGAACCGGTCCAGATGGAGGCCGACGTTCTGATGCAGGGTTTTATTCCTCTAATGGGAATAAACGGCCACACAGAGGTCAAAGGTCACTGATGTTTTCCTCCAAACAAAATCTGATTTGTCATATCAGATTTTTAAGGGTTTTAAGTTAATATTGTATTAATTTTAAAGTGTCTTAATAAACAGAACCATGTTAAAATAATGTTTATTATTTTTGGTTCTGGAGACACTTTGTGGGCGGGGCTTAATTTATAATCATTTGAAAAGAAAAAACTTGAAAACTGATTAAAAGCTTGTTGATGTTTCTAATTATTACATTCATTTGTTCTCTGTTGATTTATTTCTAATCAAATTTTCCAGTTTTTTGTGATTCCACTGAAATTAAAAAATTATCTGAATTTTTTCTAATGCATAATTAGAAAAAGAATAATATTCAGAGTTTATTGGAAATTTTCCTAAAGATGGAAAACTCAACCAGAAACAGCTGGTCGAGTTTCAATGATGATCAGAGGAGGAGAACCATGACGAGTTTGGTTGAACCAGCTGAACATTAAACATCCTGTCAGGTGACACACACACACCTGTGAGTGTGTGTGTGTCCTGCATGACATCACCTCTGTTATCCCATATCACATCCCAGCTGTTTACTCTAGCAGTCATATGATGATGACACACACACACACACACACACACACACAGAGCCATAACAGTTTGTTCTCAGCTCCAACTCGCTGCAGCTCATTCTCACAGCCGGCCCTAGGCATACATAGACTAGTGGCCCTATCAGGAGTTTGAACCAGAGATCTTAAAGGTTTATTTTTATTTAAATTACATTTCATTTAGCAAAGATCAATGAAAATATTTTAATAGTTTAAAGATTTAAAGGAACAGTAGTGTATGTTTTTCTGCCACTCTAATTGCTGCTGGCTCGTCAGAAGGAGCTGAGTGGGGGAGGAGCTGTGCCTCGAAGGCGGGGCTATGTCCACCCAGGCGTTTAGCACAGCTGAATGGTTGCCATGGAGACTGGAAGATTCCTCATGAAAGAGTCAAAGCAGCTCCAGAACACAATGTTATCAACATGTTTGTTCGTGTTAGTTTTGGATTCTTCTGTGAACCTCATTCAGTCTTTATTTGTTGTGTTGTTGCCTGTTGCTCAATAAAGTTTATTGAAAAAAAGAGGGAGGAAATGGAACTGCAGCTTAAACAGACTTCAAAATAAGAGCATGAATATAAACGTGTAGCTACTTGAAGGATTCTTATCAGTTAATAACCAGAACGGATGTCAGCTGGATATTTACAAAACAACAAAATAAATCATCGCTTTAGAAATTTATCCAGAAAATTAATTTAGAGCTATCCAAATTAAAAGTTAGCAAGACGCTAAGCAAAAAATATTTCTTCATCTATTAGCAGGAAAGCTAACAGACGATGAGCCTCCACTCATCAGCACTGCTCTGGTTTTATTAGCTAACAGGTGTTAGCCTTTTGTTTTGGTTTAAATATTTTATAAAAGTTATTATCTGATGATATCATCAGCATGAAGCGACTCTGAGGCAAAAACTGAAGTTAAAATTACACGAACATTTTTAATGCTGGAAATATTAAAAACAACAGCCTGAGTTTTTAAATATTGCAGCCTGAAGTTAATGTGATTAAACTGGACTAAATCTGTTTCCTGATTAATGAAAGCAGAACCAGTTTATCAATCCGAGATAAAACTTTATTTATCTTAAATGTTCTGCAGGAAGGAAACATTTACTGAGCTTATCCGGTTCTGGAAGATTTAATCATAAAATCAGTTTAAACTAGAGATTATCTCAGATTTAAAAACTTTACTGTTAAAATTTGATCTAAATATTTATAAACTGAATCAAACAGAAGTTAAAACCTCTGATGGAGTTTTTTAAAGCCTCTATTTGCCTCATCTGGCTCTGATCGATGCCGCCAGAGAGAAACTTCACCTGAGTCTCCATCTGATCCGGACCTCCAGAACGGCAGAACGTTCCTTTAACGGCCCGAGACCGGCTCACCTTCACGCGGCCTGCTGCTCCTCCTGCTGGGCCTCCTTCCTCCTCCTCCTCTTCCTCCCTGCAGGAGACTCAGCCAGGAATGACATCATCCTGCCAGCAGCACACCTGTTTCCTCCTCCTGCCGCCGGCCACTTCCTGGATCTCTTAAAGGGCCAGCAGCAGCGCCAGGACAACAGGTGGAAGGGCAGAACCGGACCAGAACCGAACCAGAACCGGACCAGAACAAAAACAAACCCTTACAATGAAAAATGCACATGTGGTTCACACATATTTTCACATGTGAAAACACATCAGAACCGGAGCGTGTGAAAAAACCCTTGGAACCTGCAGGCCACCGTCATTCAGCTGCTAATTTTATCCAACAATGCAACAATACACAGCCTCATTAGCCATGCACACACACACACACACACAGAGCCACACACACACACACACACACACACACACACACAGACCCAGACACACACACACACAGAGCCACACACATACACACACACACACACACACAGACACACACACACAGAGCCACACACATACACACACACACACACACCCAGAGCCACACACATACACACACACACATACACACACACAGACACACACACACAGACACACACACACAGACCCAGACACACACACACACACACAGAGACACACACATACACACACACACACACACAGACACAGACACACACACACAGACACACACACACAGACCCAGACACACACACCAACACACACACAC